ATCCCCAGAAACACGGACATTCGTGGTTTTTAATCGTTCTGAGGATTATACCTGAAACTGGCGTTGGGAGAATGCACTCCGATAATTATTGGTTTCGTGAGGCCTATTCGTTTCACTATTCATTTTATCATCATCTTGTGCGACCCAATGTGACTGAACTTCCTGTGAAATAGACCTTCGGTTAAACTTAATTCCCATTAAGACGCCGACTTTTGTAGGATAATCTTCTTCGATTTTGAGGACTATTTGATAGGCTCTGCCGATCCTTTTTGGCAGCCGCAAGATAAACAATCAGAATACGGAAGATCTGGATCATCAGATGTAGCCGCTTGTTGTCTACTTATTCTTGCTACACACCACATTGACTTGGATACGTAATATTCCATTATCTCGGCTCCACCACAGCCTTCAAATAGAGCCCCTATTTCTGCTGTATTGGCAATAAAATCTGACAGATTCGAGATATTTTGATAAATCTGGAGCCCTTATTTCTCTTTGTCATCTCGAGTTGAACCGGTCTAGACTAGGACAACTTGCCTTTTGACCGATAAACAACAGGAAAGGGGTTGTAAACGGACAAACAGAATTGGTCCATCGGTCTGTTGAGGGATTTATTTATTTATTTTGAGTTTTAGCTCAACATGTGGAGGGTCCACATTCTTACAGGTGGGAAATAAGGCTTCGCCCCTCGTTAAGTTGAGCCCCGCCCCGTTGAAGGGTCATGCAATATTTTTGCCAAATTGATCAGCCCGCCCACTCAGCCGGTATCTCCACCATTTTTGAGCGGACCAGCCCAAATTACAGGCCAACATGTTGGCCGGAGGAAAGCTACAGTTGATTGAGCAGGATTACGGCTAAATTACACGAGACTTAATGTGCCCACTCTTGTGATTGCATGTTTGCATGGCCTCACAACTCACGATGGTACAAACCAAATTGGTTTAGTTACTTGGGCGCAGCCGTCGTTGGGCCGATGGGGCGGATGGTCAAGATGCAAGGTTGTGATGAGCCCAAAATTGGGTTCGTAAATCGGACAGAAATGGAGCTACAAGATGGGACGAATGAAGGAAAAAATAGTATCCGGCTTGCAACAAGTTTTAGACGCAGTTGCTGGGCCAGGCAAGAGGAAGACCGGTCAATCAGAATGACCATGACGAGAAATTGTAATGAGGGGAGCTGGAAATTTGCGAAATTGGCCATGAGCTCTCGATCCCAAACCAACCGATGCCGAGGGAATTTCTCCCATTTGCCCGCTCCTACACACGCACAGAAACTGGCCACCCCCCCACTGACTCTTCTGTTTTTATCCCTTTCCTTGTCCCCTAGCCCGCTTCAAATTGGCAATGGGCCACGCGAGTGGATAAAGCTATTGCCCAGACAATCCCGTCTCTTCTCGTTTCAAAAGGTACAGGCAGCTTCGTCTCCCTCAGCGTCTTATTTACTCATCTGCCCTGTTTATAAGCAAGGCATTGTGGTTATGATTATGAAAATGGCATTTTCAGAAGGCACGAGTGAAGAAGGGTCTGTAGACGACAACTTTACTCACATTTTGACTGCTTGGCTCACGATGACCATCCGT